TTATTTTCTATTTAATATTAAAAATACCTAATATATATGTGCATAGAAGTATATAAAAAATAATATTTTTTTATATATTTTTTATAAATTACAAATTTTGCCCTATGGACCAAATTGATATTTAATCTGAATTCTCAAAATTGTAATCATGCCCCTCAAAGATATCTATCTAATTCTCAAGTACACAAAAATCCCCAAATCGCAGGTGCGTCGAATGGGCCACTTCCGCTGGCGTTTCTTGTCGGCCGCCGCCGTCTGTACCTTCCATATTCGTAAGCTCGCCCTCCGATTCTACAGTACCTGGTCATCTTCTCCCCCGAAGTGGTCTTGCTTCTACTCGCGAAGACGTTCTAGGAGGTGGTGCGGCTGAGATGGAGGAGGGGGGCGCCTGGATGTGGGAGACGGAGCTCGAAATGAGGGCGACGGTGGGAGGAGTCGGGGAGATAGAGGCGGATGCGGAGATTGACGGGGAACGTCGCAAACGATGGCCATAGGAAGAGGTTCGTGCAGTTAGTGCGTGTGTATGTGTGTGTAAGCGATTAGTGTGTGTGATGTGTGTGTATATGTGAGAGAGAGAAAGAGTTAATGAGAGAGATGAGGTGTAAAGTGTGACCCACGAGTGAGTGTTGTGTGGTGGCATGGGTCCCACTGTTTAATTAGTGTGTATAAAATTACCACATTAACCTTAATTAAGGTATATTTTTAGCTTTCTTTTAGTCTTTGGATCATCCGATCTAATGACTATGACCATTATATATATGGTCACGCTCCAGTGAAAATGATCCTCAGTGAAAGAAATAAGAATGGTTGTAGACCATTAGATCCAACATATTAATGGTCAAGATGAAGTCAAAGTTAGTAATTATAGTCAAACTCATTAAGGACAATTTGGTCATTTGACACTAATTAACGATAATTTAGTCATTTTAAATAATACATGTGGATCCAACCCATCACAACTCATCACTGTTACCACATAAACACGTTCACACACCAGCCCACCCTATCTCTCACACATATACACACACTCACCCTCTCTCTCACACATATACACACACCATCACTATCGCAGGCACACACGAAAAAAGATAAAATCAATCCGGCCAAAACAGCAACACCAGATCCGTCGGCGCTGCCGTCTACCACAGAGATGGCCCACCCCGGCAACACTGCCGCTGCTGTCCGCCATGGCCACCGGAGACGTCCGCCGCCAACAACCGTCCAAGCTACATGCCGGCATGCAGTCGCAATTCAGGCCAAAACTCCCACCACAAGCTCGCCGCGCTGCCGTCCGCCACATAGATGGCCGCACTCAGAAACACCGCAGCTGCCGTCTGTCGTGGCCACTGGAGACTTCCGCCATTAACGGCCACCCCAAGCTTCACGCTGTCATCTGCTCGTAACCACCAAAACGCTGCCGGCAAAGATGGATGGTTCCGTCGCCTTCAACACCCGCACAGATTCTGCCATAGCCCGCCGCCGCCACCACCCTCAGCATGCTCCATCTTGATGTTGAGTTTCGAGTGTTCTCTGCCATGTCCGGCGAGAGGATGTTCTCCGGTGACTGTTTTCCGGCGGCTTTTACAGGTCAGACATGAAGGTGCAGACGGTGATGGTTGCTGGTGGAAGAGAGATGGATGAAGACTATTTTTCATTTGAGCATCATTTTGAGAATTTGATATATTCAAAGGACTTAATTGCACTTTTTTAAAATGGTATTAAATTTCAATATTACCCATGGGTCAAATCTGTAATTTATAAAAAAGTATACCAAATGTACATTAATGATATACAAAAAAACTTAAAAATATTGCATAATAAATGAATATTACATTCGAGACTTAAAATTAAAAAACATATAATCGAATCAAAATATAAAATTCGAACTAAAAGTTTTAGTTTGGTCGATTCGGTTATTTTAAAAATTATTTTTTAAATTCGTACCAAAACTATAAAATTCGAACCAACAATTTAGTTCGGTCGATTTTCGATCGATATAGTGCAATGTGATAGTCACTAATGTGCAATCTGTCTAAAATTAATGTGCACTAAAAGTGCAAATATTATTTAATGTTTTGTCCAAGCCTAAACCAAAACCAAAATAATTAGATTATTTGTCCGGTTAACCGTATTAATCTAAATAATCAAAATAAGTTATAATGTATATTATAAAATATAAATTATATTTTATATTATATAATATAAGTTATAAATTATTATAATTTATCGTGTTGTGATAAAGTGCATCGTGCTGTTTTATAAAGTGCAAAGTGGAGTTTTATAAAGTGTAACGTATTAATATATAAAGTGCACTGTGTTGTGATAAAGTGTATCGTATTGTTTTATAAAGTGCAAAGTGTAGTATTTTCGATCGATATAGCACAATCGATCTAAAATTAATGTGCACTAAAAGTGCAAATATTATTTAATGTTTTGTCCAGGCCTAAACTAAAACAAAAATAATTAGATTATTTATCTGGTTAACTGAATTAATATAAATAATCAAAATAATTTATAATTTATATTATAAATATAAATTATATTTTATATTTTATAATATAACTTATAAATTATTTTAATTTATCGTGTTGTGATAAAGTGCATCGTGTTGTTTTATAAAATGCAAGATGTCGTTTTATAAAGTTCAATGTATTAATATATAAAGTGCATTGCTTATAATTGTAGTGAATTAATCCGTTTATCAAACTAGTTACCCGATTTACCTTAAATCCCGTAAATTGTTTGTGGTTTATTATAAAAATATATTCATAAGTTATTTTTTTTTCGTTGTTTTCGACTTAATATAATAATATATTTAAAGAAAAATATATAAAAAATTAATAGTATTTTTTTATATAGTCCGGTTGATGTGTTATTTCATTTTTTTTTTAATTGTAAAGTCGAAATCAAATTAACCAAAATTTTAATGTAAATACATATTTGAACTTTATTATACAACTTTGAACGGAATAATTTAGTTAGTTCTATTTCGGTTGTTACATGGTGCAGTCCGCCAGTCATTGATATTCAATGTGTGGGCCATTAATGTGCATTTCCTGATACACTCACATCGCATATATATTTAATGTGAACATAAACTATACATTGTAAATTTATTATCATTAACCCATATTTATTAAATGTTCTATAATCACATATTTAGCACATGTAGCATATTTAAATGTACTCAAATTTTATCAAATTGCAATCAGCCCCATTAGGATTGTCTAATTTCCTAAATCATGCCCTAATTCCCAAATGGGCAAATCATCTTCATCCTCCCCAATACTCCACCGGCGCCATTCAACCATCTCCGGCCGAGACATCTGACGTTGACGTGATAAGCGGTCTCAGTCGTTCCTCCCAGTGCTTCTCCCGCCCCGACCTGATCTCCGGCTCCTACTTCCAGCGGGGTGGGTGAAATAGGTCGTCTATGTAGATGGACGGAAAACGAAGGAGATGGAGCTCCGGGCGATGGACCAGCGGCGGCGACGTGTGCGCGTGACTGAGAGTTCCAACGGCTGATGCAAAGATCCCGACGTCGACCGGTTGCCGGATTTTGTCCGAGATTTGTGGTTGAGGTGGATGGCAGAGAATCGGAGCTCCGGCACGTACGGCGGCGCGGCGGCCTAGCGGAGGTGCGGCGACGCCTGAGCGTCGGTCAGCCGTGACGCCGCCGGGAATTGGGCGGCCGGGGATGGGGCTGTTCTTCTTCTGCGTGTGTTTATATTTTGCGTGTGTATATCTGTTGACCAATTTATGTGTGTGTGTGTCTCTGTATTTGAGAGAGAGAGAGAGGTGTGTGAGAGGTGTGATGTGTTTTAGCCACGTGGCATGAAATAATTGGACCTGTGTAATTTTTAGTTGGCACAAATTAATTAGTAAAATGATAAAATGTCTAAAATACCCTTAAATAAAATGTATTCTTATTTCTTTCATTAAACACCATTCTCACTTGAACCCAACCCTATATATGTATATATATATATATTTTTTTTTTCCATATATATGTATATATATATATATATACATATATTGGTTGCTTTTGCTTTTGAGCATGTTTGAAAGAAACTATGTTGGCACGATCATATTACAAAATTATAAGTTTATACACATCTATCAAGAAAGCAAATTGATCATGATCAAGTCCTAATGAGTATAGAAATCATACACGGTCAAAAGCAAGTTTTATTATTTTAAAATAATATTTAGAGTATTTGTGTTTTAATTATAAATTTAGATCAAAATCCTTTAATATATATTGATATAGTCTGTGTGATTACAACTTTATCATTAAAAATATGTCAAAGTAAGGGGTTTTTAGGCAGTTCCTTTTTCTACAAAATCACTCGTCCTATTATAATAATAAAATAAAATAAAATGAAATAAATAAATAAATAAAATAAAATAATAAAAAATAAATAAAAAATATAGTATAGATATATATAGACATAGATAGATAGATAATACCTTCAAAAGCATTTGATTAACCTAAAGTTTGTGAGAAAAGTTGATTCTACCAAATAAAACATATCTAGATATATGAAACATCGGAAATGCTCCCCTACCTACGGTTGGCACATGTTAATATGCCCACCGTGGATGTGGCATGCACACATTGGTGATGTTAATATATTAAAAACAATACATCACCAATGTGTATATGCCACATAAGGGTAGAGGAGCATTTCCCTATGAAACATATCAAATAAGTGTGACAGGCAAACAAACACTTAATACTATTTAAGAAAAAGCAGTTGAAGTGTGTAATTCCTTGCTTCTGCTAAACCCTTGTCGAAAATTCTTTGCATTGATCCACAAGTAAAGAACACAATTCCTACTTGTGTTCACCAACAGTCTCCTCGTCTCCCTTTCTATTAAATCCAAGTCATGCAAAACCACACATATATATATTATCCTACAACAAACAATCTTACAAACTCTAATTAATTCTTCCTAGCTACTTAGTTTCCTTGTCCCCTCATCCCCAAACCAATACAATGGCTCCAGAACCAACCTCACACGACAGTACTGAGAACGAACGAAAGAGCCTCGAGCGGGAGTTGAAAGAAGTAATCTCGGCCCTAACTACCCGACTAGGCACTATCCAACGGGCCCACAAGCCGAGTTTGGGCCAAGAGGAGGAGCAAGGAGTGGGGATGATCACGCTGGCTGGGAACAACGTTGGTGCCACCATGCAGGGTGACGTGGACGAAGTGGAACAGCTGGAGGACCTCGCCACATATGTCAACAGCAATTTCCAGGCCATAAACAACTCTATCATGATGGGTGGTGGCTATAAAACCAATGACCCGGGAGTGCATTTGGACATCTCGGATGTATACGAGCACAATGATGATGATGATGATGATGATCAAGTCCCCAATAAACGTGGGAAGAAAGGCAGAAGTAAGAATTTGACGAGACAGAGATCAAAAGGTGAACGTCATAATCATCAACATGGGGAGCGTTCGGACGAGACTAGCGACACTAACAAGAGTTGAGTTGACACAGTGTATAATTAAACGCTTGTCTATTTTTAAGTGTTTGTGATATGGTGTGAACTTTTTATATGTACTAGTTGATATGATCTACCTCTTGCAAGGAAGGCTGGTTTGCCTTTGAGTGCCTTGCTAATTTATCAATTTCTGCTTCTGAAAATTTTCCAAATCAATGTTATTTGAATGTTTAAAGCAATAAACGAGATGTTTTTTTGTTTTTTTTTTCTCATTATTTTCAGTCACCCTTTTAGTATTTTGCATTTGAATTACCTTTGATTTCGCTAAAAGAATCATTTTCAGCTATTATATGTGGAAAAACTATTTCATTTTTTCTAGCTAAAAGTTACGGACGACTTATCCTGGTTATTTGATTTTATCTGTTGCTACTCCTCAAAGTCTACAAAACGTAGGTTATAGAATGATGGAAGATGCTTAGACCAAACAAGTTTAACGAAATAGACTTTTATGGTCCATTAATTATCTGTGCACGTACACCTATCATCCCAACATCGTTTCTCCATTTTACATACATTTTTGCAAGAAAATACTGAATTCTTTTTGTCAAAAGATAGGATTCTACGTAGTTGCATATCTTTTCCATATTATGACACATGAAAACTACATGATATCCTTTGGCAAAATCATGTGTCATTAGATTCAAACCGCACTCAATCCAATACGCGTATATACATGTTAAAATCCAGAATCCAGGTAGAATGAAATTTAGGTGGAAATGCGCTGGCAATAGTTATAATTGTAGTTTGTGTGAATTGTGAATATTAAGATGATGGCTTAAGGAGAATGAAAAAAACGAAAAACAAAATCAAAGTCGAGACACGTAACAGTTCGAAATTGCCCCATAAAATACTCACGGTTAATGGTAAACTCATCCAAGATACAACGACTTTCGACTTGTAATAATGGTTTTTCAAATATACAAGCTTTCGGCGAACAATACTATTGTTACAAACTCTCAAGACTCAACAAAAAAGCCAAAGAACACAATATGCTTAATGAACTTTGAAAATGTAATGCAGGAGCTCTTAAATTTTCAAGTTTTGAATGATTTCATGTATGTGAGTATTATAAATGTAGAAAAACACATCCAAAGAGTTTAAATGTCAAAAGACACCTTTTGAACGTACCCAAACGAGAACGGACGCATTTAGAAGCCAAAAGACTCTTTCGTCACCAAGGGCCGCGACCTTTCGCTGGCCGCTACCAGCTGCGCGTCCGTGTGCCGCAACCTCGTACGAGCTCATTCGGACTCGGAATCGTGTTTCGGTTTTTCCTAGTCGTCCCCAGCAAACCCTTATAGAGTTATAGTATGCAAGATGCATGATTAGGTGTCGTTTGGATTATACAAACATTCCTCAAAGATAAAATATTTAGCGAATCTAATAATTTGAGTTACTTAAACTCAATTGCTTCCACCTTAATTTTCTCACATATACAACTTAGAATTAATTTCTCATTCACCTAAAATGGATTTGAGAATTTTTTAAATCTTCCACTTACAAAAAATAAAACCGTAAAATCAATACAAAAATAATTTTTCTTATAATAATAATGCGCATGCCAAAAGTAAAAGAGTTAGTCTCAAGATAAAAAGGAAAGCAAACAAATAAAACCGTAAAATCGATACAAAAGTAATTTTTCTTACAATAATATTGGGCATGCCAAAAGTAAAAGAGTTAGTCTCAAGATAAAAAGGAAAGCAAACGGATATTGAGCTGTTAAACTGATTTTCTTCGCAATCATTTTGTTCCTTCAAGACAATTATTGCCACAAAGACTGAAAACAGTAGAAGACTTTCAAAGACGTTGATGAAGATTCGAAAGTAAGCGCCGCATTCTGCAGTGTCATGGGCATATATATTCAACCAAAACTTTTTGTAACTTGATCATCATCTTGTTTCTCTTGGTCTTTCTTCTCTTCCATTTCCACGGCTAATTTTGGGTCTTGCTTTTGAATTTCATTGTCCTTACCCCACAGCAGAATGTACAACCCAGCAATTACAGTTGCTGATCCTATTACGCTGTTTGACATAAGAAAAATGATAAGTTCACGAGTAATCACAAATCCAACAACATTTATTCTGCAACTCTACACATCATGCTCACCTTCCCAGATGAAGTTGTTCGTGCCAAATCGGGACTTCAAAGAATGCAGCCATTATCATCACAAGTGGGCTGAAAGCTGCTGTGAAGACGGGCCCTCGTTTCTTTACACACCATGACATGCCCACGAAGCATAATCCAGTTCCTACCATTCCCTGCATCACATAATTTTATTTCCATTCACTATTCAAATACAAATATTTCTATTTTCAAAAACTTAAGATATACCCAAAATAATTAATACTTCAACCCTAGAAAAACTAATGATTAGAATAAAAAGGAAAACTTTATAATTGAAGAATTAAATAATAGTATATTAAGACATAAAAACATTGTAAAACACTAATTAAAATAACCAAATAATAATAATAATAATAATAATAATAATAATAATAATACACAAGAAGGTATGAATAACTAATTTAAAGCCCAACTTGGTGAAATTGTCACCGAACATAAAGTCTTGGAAAGCACAACGTATGTACTATTGATGGTCATGCAGCAGATTATAATAAAATGCTTGTTAATACTTTAAAGATAAATGATTCAATAGCTCCCTGGGAAACAAAAAAAAAAGTATATATATATTTCTCCAAATCATGATATACATTATTCAAGTGTATTATCCAACGTAGGTTTAATTGCAAAATATAGCCAGTATCTTGTACGCAATGGCAATATTAGCCACCATCTTTACGAATTGGCAATATTAGCCAACAACTTTCAAAATTTTGGGGTTATTACCCATGTCCGACCAAATTCGATGGCTATTATTGTCAATGCGTAAGAAAATAATGGCTATATTTTGCAATTTATCTGTCGAATTTTGTTGGATTTGGGTAATAATCTCAAAATTTTGAAAGTTGTTGGCTAATATTGCCAATCCGTAAAGATGGTGGCTATTATTGCCACCGCGTACAAGATACTGGCTATATTTCACAATTTAGCCATCCAACGTATATAGTCTAATTTGATTGAAGCTTTTCATTTTGTTGGTTTGTAAGAAGAATTAAAAATACAGATAAGGGTATATTAGAGAGTGAGACTGACCGCATAGAGAATAATGAAAATGTGTGATTTAGTGTTCAACATCCAGATGGAGAGGTCCCTTTTGACTGACAAACTCAAAATGGCAGATTGTACGGAACTAAAGGCAGCCATAATGGCTGTGCTTGAATACGGACACGGGTATTTCTTCCCTATGCTCGTCTGGACAAGGTACCACGACGACCAGCATAATGTACCTACCATCAATGCTATTGTGCCAACAGCCCATCGCTCCGAATTTAGCTTCATATGTGGATTTGTTGAGCTGGCAAAACGAAACAAAGGCATTCCTTTATACAGAGTCAATAGGATGGCCCCACCAAGGCACACTAGTGCACCCACCACCTTTGCCCTTCCGCTCTTCAAATTTACCTTCTCTAAACTGCAATAGGGATAGAATCATATATAAATGAAGAGATTGTTTTGGAATGAATTAAAATAGATAAATATATACGAGGTGTGGTACCCAACCCAAATGGTAAAGCCATGAGGAATGTTATTACGGGGACCATGTTGAGAAAGGCACATGAGAAGGTTGCGGACGTGTATTGTAGCCCAACAAGGAACAGAAACTGTGTTACGGATGTCCTAACATATATAATCATTTTCAACACAGTTATTCACGTGTTACTTACTTCCATCATAATTTGTACTATAGTTTCTAACTTTACCCGATAACTGCACTTGCGAAAAGTAGACACGATATGGTGAAGGTGAGCTTAGGCCTGCTTTTCCTGCACAAATCATTAAACAATGGATTTAAGATTCCTTGTTGAGATTTTATCTGAAAAGTCGAGTATGCTGAACATCGCACTTGTGGCAATCCTTGTTTTAATTTTTGAAAGCCAAACAAGGTAGAGAATTCAGACCTTTCCACAAAGAAAGCTAGCAGAGACAAAAAGAGTGCGGAAATCGACTGGCGATAAGTTATGAAGACCAACAGGTTGATCCCATCACCCACAATCTTCTTCAGAAGTAGATTGGTAACAGCTAAGGCAAGATCAATGGCTAACATTGCTAAAACCGGGTACCATTTCGCACAATTATTCATTTTCATCCCTCACTACTCCCCCTTTTTCTGAGTAAAGTTTCCTACACATTCATATCATTTATATATACGATTTTGTTTATTAAAGAGGGGCTTTATCGACACACCATGACTTGAAAAGATTACAAATGTTAGTAATAAACATGCCCTTTGACTTTTCTGAATATGCACTCATAATTCTCTTTATTA